GGATAACCAATTCCTCAGCTAAATTCTGATTTACAGAAGCAAAGTGGGGGAAGAAAGGGGTCAGGTGGGCCTGATGCACCATATGGGAAGACAGCTGCTTGTTGTAAGCAGGACAGCCAACAGAGCGACAGATCATAATCAGGAAGGATGTTGAAAATGAAACAAGGTGTATTAAGGATGAGAATCCTAGGTGTGAGTTAGATCCCTCTCTTCAGGCAAGGCACCATGGGTCAGATAGACTAATAAATTTGGAAAGGTGAAAGTGTTCATCAAATCAGAAACAAACATGGGGTTTAAAGCCCCAATTTTATGGTTCTAGACTTAGGAGTAATCTCTTCAGGTTTGGAAGAGATTGGGGTTAAAATGAGGCCCTACTTTTTATATAATAAACTCATAGAACTCATGGCCCTCACACTGGTACCCTCCAAAATAAGGAGGAAACAATGGAAAAATCAATGCATATATGATTATAACTGCCCCTTCCAGGAGTGCCTGACTGGTTCCGTCATCAGAGCATGTGACTCTTGATCTAGGGATTGTGAGTTTAGGCCCCACACTGGGTGTAGAGATTACTTAAAAAAAAAAAATTACGATCTTAAAAATAAATAATTGCCCCTTCCAATATATGGACATGCACACACATGTTGTACCACAGTTTGGGAATGAATGGAGCACACCATTGGTTTCTTCCAGAATAACATTACTTGCTCCCATTTTATTTTATTTTATTTTATTTTATTTTATTTTATTTATTTTTAAGTAAGTTCTATGCCCAATGTGAGGCTTGGACCTATAACCCTGAGATTAAGAGCCACATGTTTTACCAACTGAGGCAGCTGGGTGCCCCTGTTTGCTCCCATTTTATTTTATTTTTAAAGATTTTATTTATTTGTTTAAAAGAGAGAGTATGAGCAGAGGGGGAGGTGCAGATGGAAAGGGAGAAACAGACTCCCTGCTGAGCAGGGAGCCCAACGCACGGCTTGATCCCAGGACCCTAGGATCAATACCTGAGCCCAAGGCAGACACTCAACTGAATGAGCCACCCAGGTGTCCTTGCTTGCTCCCATTTTAGATCAACATTGGTATTCCTCTGGACAGGGAAACAGAAGTATTTAGCAGGAGACTCCTTTCTTGGGCAGCCCTGGTGGCACAGCGGTTTAGCGCCGCCTGCAGCCCAGGGTGTGATCCTGGAGACCTGGGATCGAGTCCCACGTCGGGCTTCCTGCATGGAGCCTGCTTCTCCCTCTGCCTGTGTCTCTGCCTCTCTCTTTGCTCTCTCTGAATGAATAAATAAATAAATCCTTAAAAAAAAAAAGGAGACTCCTTTCTTAATAAATATTATTAATGACCAAGGATGATGATGATGGTGTTCTTATTTTATAGACCTAACGAATTGTGATTTTTTTTTAAGATTTTTATTTCTAAGTAATCTCTATGTAGACCCAGGGTGGGGCTCGAACTCATGACCCCAAGATCCAGAGTTACCTGCTCCACTGACTGAGCTGGCCAGGTGTCCCTGTTATTTAATTGTTAAAACAACACATTTTTAGAAATAATTGCAGTGGTGATACAGCTCATCATGGACAATTGGAAAATATGGAGAAGTCCAGAAAGGAAAGGGAAAGCATCTGTAATCCCAGATAGAATTGCCTGGGTAGAGTCCAAGTTAAGGCTTTGATTTGTTCTCTTTTAGTCTGCTATTCCACGCATATATACACAGTTGTACATATTTTATGAGAATTGAGACCATCTTCTGTTTTGAAACACTTTTTCATTTAATATAATGTGATCTTTTTCTCAAGTTGTTCATTGTTTTCACACAACAGGGACTCTTTACCTCACCATGTAGCAGATCCCATGTAGCAGACTGCATGTAGTAGGCCACCATGTAGCAGACCAGCCACATGGGACTCTTCTCTGCTGTAGTGAGTCGAATAGGGACCCAAGAGGTATGTCCACTTGGAATCTTAGAATATGAACTTATTTGGGACAAGGGTCTTTACAGATGTAATTAAGGTAAGGATCTCAAGATGAGATTATCTTCGACTGGGTGGTCCCTAAATCCAGTGGTAAGTTCCCTTGTAAGAGACAAAAAAGAGGGCATCTGGGTTGCTCAGTCTGTGAAACGTCTGCCAGTGTGGGTCATAATCCCAAGGTCCTGGGATCGAGCCCCATGTGGGGCTCCCTGCTCGGTGAGGAGTCTGCTTCTCCTTCTCTCTCTTGTTCTCTTCCCCTCCCCTTCTTGTTCTCTCTCTTAAATAAATAAATAAATAAATAAACAAACAAACAAATAAATAAATAAATATTTTTTTCTTTTTTTAAGAGAGAGACAGAAAAGGAGATGACACAGAGATACTTAGAGAAGACAGTCATGGAAAATGGAGGCAGAGATTAGGGTAGTGCATCTTCAAGCCAAGGAATGCCAAGAATTGCCAATAGCCACCAGAAGCTAGGAGTGAGGGATGGATGGAACAGATTCTCCCTCATTGCCCCCAGAAGGAAAGAACCCTGCTGACACCTTAGTTTGGACTTCCAGCCTCCAGAACTATAGAAGAATAAATTTTTGTTGTTTTATTTAATTTATTTTTTTAACTAAAATCTTTTTTTAAAATTTCATTTATTTATTCATGAGAGACACACACACACAGAGAGGCAGAGACACAAGCAGAGGGAGAAGCAGGCTCCATGCAGGGAGCCCAACGTGGGACTCGATTCCGGGTCCCCAGGATCACGCCCAGGGCTGAAGGCGGCGCTAAACCGCTGGGCCACCCGGGCTGCCCATTTTTGTTGTTTTAAACTGCCAGATTAGTACTTTATTATGGCAGCTCTAGGAAACAAATACAGTCACACACACCAAACTAATTCTTACCTCAGGGCTTTTGCAGTTACCATCATCACTGACTAAAATGCCCTTCCTCCGGATTTTTGCAGATTTTGCAGATTTCTGTTATGTCTCATCTTTTTTTAAAAAAGATTTTATTTATTTATTCATGAGAAACACACACACACAGAGGCAGAGACACAGGCAGAGGAAGAAGAAGGCTGCCCATGGGGAGCCCAATGAGGGACTTGATCCCAGGACCCCAGGATCATGACCTGAGCCAAAGGCACTCAACCACTGAGCTACCCAGGCATCCCTGTGTCTCATCATTTATGGCTCAGCTCAAAGTCACTTCCTCATAGAAACCTACCCTCCCAGTCATCTCAGACCCCTCTGGTTTTCTTTTCTTTTCTTTTTTTTTTTAAGATTTTATTTATTTATTCATGAGGACACACACACACAGAGGGAGAGAGAGAGAGAGAGAGAGAGAGAGAGAGAGAGAGAGAGGCAGAGACACAGGCAGAGGGAGAAGCAGGCTCCATGCAGGGAGCTCGACTCGGGACTCGATCCCGGGTCTCCAGGATCAGGCCATGGACTAAGGCGGCACTAAACCAGCACAAAAGCACTGAGCCACCTGGGCTGCCCGCAGACCCCTCTGTTTTAAGTCTGCATTGGGAATATTCTCTAGAATCCTAGAGAATATTCCCAACTACCCCTAGGTCCTTTTCCCTTCATTGTTTACTTCTCTTCCGTCGGCCTTCCCACCTTGGATGTGAGTTCTATAAGAAGAGGGTCTTGGGTACCGTGTTCCTTCTTCTATCTCTACCAACCACCCAGAGCAGCATCTGGCCCACAGCACAAAGGCGCTGATGGAAGGGTGCTTGGTTGGTTTAGTTGGTAGAGGACAGAACTCTTGATCTCAGGGTCATGAATTCAAGCCCCACACTGGATGTAGAGCCTGCTAAATAAATAAATAAATAAATAAATAAATAAATAAATAAATAAATAAATAAATACATACTGACAGGACTCCTGAGCAAATGAACGAATGTGAATTAGTTCTGAACAGATCAGAGTTTCACAGCTGAGTAAGCTTCCTGCTGACTCATGCATTTGAGGCTGGGGGACCTACTCCTTTCTTCTGAGCTCATCTCTGCCATCTTTTCCTCTTTGAGAAGGTAATGTCTGCTTTAACTTTCTACTTCTAGGAATCAACTGGAGAACAGAAGAAGCAAAGTGCTCTGAAAACACTTCAATACAAGAACATCTCCATCTGTTTTTCATTTACTGCCATTCGACTATGGCTGGGAGTCTGAGTATCTGCCTTTCTTATCTGTATCTGAGTCAGGATGTCAAAGCAAGCCTCATCTTGCTGAAGAATCAAGGAGTGACAGGCTGGGAATGAAAGTGTAACAGAAACTTGGACTGATCACAGACTCAAACCAGTACATCTCCTTTCCATCCCAGAACTAGGAACTGAAACTTTTCCACAGGAAATTCTTTCTTCTCCCTCCCTCCCATGCAAACACCCAATCTGTCCTGATTCCTTTTTTATTTATTTTTATTTTTATTTTTTTTTACTAATAAATTAATTTTTATTGGTGTTCAATTTACCAACATACAGAATAACACCCAGTGCTCATCCCGTCTGATTCCTTTTTTAATATGCAAATAGTAATAGCAATATTCACCAAACTCTAAATAAAACATACAGGGCTCTTGTCACCCTGTCTATACCACCCTTCCAAATTAGATGATTTTTACTTATTCTCAGTCCCCTTACTCATCCTTGTCCTAACACATTTGTCTTTTTTACTTAATACTCTCTTGATGGAGCTCAGTGTCTACTCCCTTTCCCTACTTGACAGTATTTGGTATTTTTCTTTTCTTTTTTTTAAAATAAATTTTATTTATTTATCCATGAGAGACACATAGAGAGAGGCAGAGACATAGGCAGAGAGAGAAACAGGCTCCATGCAGGGAGCCGGATTGGGACTTGCTCCTGGGACTTCTGGGATCACACCTTAGGATGAAGGCAGATGCTCAACCGCTGAGCCACACAGGCATCCCAGTATTTGGTATTTATATATCAGGACACAGTTAACAGCCCATAAAGGTCTCTGCTTAAGTAAGAAGTCCCTTTCTGTGAACCATCACCCAGACACATGCAACACCAGACTGTGTGTCTCATATCAAAATTTATTGAAGTGGTAGATTTCTTATAAGGACAGAAACAAGCGAACAAATGTGAAGGAACCTTCTCTCTCTTTACCACTGGGCAGCATTTCCCTTTTAATGACAAAAACAAGAGATGGGAAGGAGTTATCTTCTCTGAGGCCTCTAACTGCTCAGCCTTCGATTATTGTCAACAGGAGAGGAATGGATTAGCCACAGCACAAACACCTTTCCTTTCTCTTAGTAGGACTGTTTTGCTCAGTCCTGCCGTGGCTAATCCCTCCCTTATGACTACTGGAAACTCAGATATTAACCCAAGCTTGTGAGTCTGTCTGCCTAGTGCTTTTCTACTGAAGTGTGGCTGGAAGATTAATTGGTCCCATGGAATGTGGGAGAACTACTGGTTTGTTTAATGACGCCTGGCCTCCCTCCCGGGGCAATAACTCTCCTCCAGCCACTTAGCTTTTCTTATTCCATCTAGAGCCCACCAACAGGCTAGGTATCACCCCAGGAGCCAAGAACCATCCCTGTTTCAGGCAGGTGAGGGAAAGAGGCCAGTGAATCACAGGCGCTGATGGGCGTCTCCGTGGCTCCAACTCTACTCAGCAAAAGTATGGACAGTTATGCCATCTTCAGTTCCACGAGGGTCAGAAATTGAGCAGAAGTTTCAGAAGCTTTCCTCTCTGTTCCCCCAAGGGTCCTCTGGTGACGCTCCACAACCAGGCAGCCCACTCTGCCACTACCCTTCTCCAAATCTGATTCTCTGAATCTGGAAGTTCCAGGAAACCACAGGCCAAGTTTAATGATGGTATCCTGTGCACCCAGCCAAACTGTGTATCCAGAGACCTTGGTTCTTGGTGACAAGCTCTCTTCTTGGCTTGGTTATTTAGCGAGAAGCTGGGGTCAGGTAAGATGGGTTCCGTGGCTCCCCGGAGTTGGCCAATAAATTGTCCGGCACACTCCTGGTAGTATTCAGATCACCTGTGAGCTCCATGCTTGTGCTCTGGTTGTTATCCAACTCTTGTGGTGTCTTTTTCCTCAGGCAGCGGTTGATCAGGGTAGAGAAGAAGTTGGGGAAAGAGGGGCTGGAGAAGTAGTATACCAAAGGGTCCAGCATGCTGTTCATGTAGGTGAAGCTAAGGGTGATGAAAAATGCCAGGTCAACCGAGCGATAGATGTCACAGTTCTTCGTACCTGTAGTGTGCAAGAGCCAGAAAATGCGTATGCGCACGGCCACACTGGGCAGGAAACAGATGATGAAGACGATGGCCACCACCATGATGAAGTTGATGGCTCTCTTGATCTTGGCATGTCTGTCCATTTGTCGTTGGCGCAGGCTCCAGATGATTCTGGCCGAGCAGAATAGGATGATGCCCAAAGGCAGGATGAATTCCAGAAGGAACATAGCATCATGCCACCTGAAGGTATGGCAGATGCTAAAGCTGCTGCACAAATTTGCATCTCTATTCCTGATCAGCATTTTTTTGTATAGGAGGTGACCCGTCAGGCCAATGGTGACACCCCACAAGAGGCAGGAAATGAGGGCCGCTGTCCTATTCGAGATCTTGTTCAGAGCATGGTGAGGATGGACCACCCGGAAGTACCTGTCCACAGCCACCACCGTGAGAAAGATGATGCTGCCCTGGCGGTTCATGGCCAGCATGAAGAGCATTAGCCGGCAAGGGATGTCCCCAAACCTCCAGTCCCACTTCCTCACATAGTTGTCCGTCAAGAATGGCAGGCAGATGATCAGGAGAAAGTCAGCCACAGCCAAGTTGAACAAGAAGATCCGGCTGGATTTCCAGGACTTGAGATGGAAGCAGAAAATCCACAGGGCAAGGCCATTGCCCAGAAGCCCGAACACAAACTCCAGCCCCAATACCGGTGGCAGCACATTGGCGATGAAGTCATCCCGGAACACACAGCAGTTCTTCTTGTCTATTTCCAGAAAATGATTCTGCTGCTGGTGCAGATTCATGAGTGGAACAAGCCTGTCCTAGGGAGCGCCTCACCTAGCGAGTGCTCAAGGAAAGAGGTGTGTGTGTGAGTGGCGAACCGGAGGTTCAGCTCCCGCCTTTATGTCATGTCAGGGTGTTGAAACTGGTGACTGAGTGCTTACCAGGAAACTACGAAATCCCTTAAAAAAAAAAAAAAAAAAAAAGCCAGCAAGACTCTTATGCAATCTTCTGTTTGCATAAACAAGTAATAAAAATCCCCCAGGGAAGACAGGAACCCACAAAGTTTCCTAAATGTAAAGGATAAGTTTAGGCAAGCCGACTGTCATTTGTGCAGTACTGCGACGGGAAGGGTTTCCCTTCGGAAGTCCGTGCGCCGGCATACCGAACGCTCAGCATTAGAGAATCAATTCACGGTTGCGTAGTTGGCTCACACAATGAACAAGATGACAACGGCAATAATAATTTCCTGTGCTAAACAGCATGGTTTTCTAGAAACGTTAAGAGTGACTATGAAGGGGATCCCTGGGTGGCGCAGCGGTTTGGCGCCTGCCTTTGGCCCAGTGCGATCCCACATTGGGCTCCGATCCTGGAGACCCAGGATCGAATCCCACATTGGGCTCCCGGTGCATGGAGCCTGCTTCTCCCTCTGCCTATGTCTCTGCGCCTCTCTCTCTCTCTCTCTCTCTCTCTCTCTCTCTGTGACTATCATAAATAAATACAAATTAAAAAAAAAAAAAGAGTGACTATGAAGTATTAGCATATATATGACTTAAGAAACAGTAGCATGTATATGATTTCTTTGGAGACACCAAGGCAGTAACTGTCTATTTTATGAGGACGGACATGTTGTGTTTGATGCTTCCCTGCTGTCTTCTCTGTACAAACACAGATTGCTTTTCCCCACCAGAAATTGGCGATTAAGCTCTAGCTGGGGGGAAGGGGAAGGATCTTTGAGAACAGCATACAATTTCATAAGATGTTTGAAAACTTGAACTTGGTTTGGATTGCCAGTGGTATGTTACAATAAAATGGGTTTTTTTGTTTGTTTGCGTTGGATTTTGATAGGTTTCTGTGCTCATTAGCAATTTATTTTGAGGTATGTGATTTTTATTTTTACCTTTTTAAAGATTTATTTATTTATTTAGCAGAGGGAGAGCAGGAGTGGGAGGGGCATAGGGAGAAGGAGAGAATCTCAAGCAGACTTTGTGCTGAGCACACCCTGAGATCATGACCTGAGCTGAAACCGAGAGTCAGCCGCTCAACTGACTGCACCACTCAGGTGCCCCTGAAGTACATAATTCTTAAAAATCAATAAGTGTTATTTTTTTAGAGTTTTAGATTCACAGCAAAATTGAGCAGGAAGTACAGAGTTCCTGTATCCTCCTGTTCCCCCTTATACACACATAGCCTCATCGCACTAAGTGCATGATATTTTAAAAGCCTCCACTTTTGTAAAATTAAACTTAGAGGGATGGGACCCTTGAGGACTTTGAACTCCCCCTCACAGCAGATCACCATTTCACACATAATTTCTTTGCTTCTTAGTATAATTGGGTGTAACCCTAGAGGACATTTCTACCCTTTAATATTTTGGCTATGATCCGTGCTGCGTAAGAGGTCCTTCTACTTTGAGTTAAAAATCAGAAATGTGGGGCACCTGCCTGACTCAGCCACGTAAGCATCTCCTTTGGCTCAGGTCATGATCCAGGGGTCCTGGGATCAAGCCTCACTTAGGGGGGGGTCCCTGCTCGGCGGGGAGCCTATTTCTTCCTCTCCCTTTGCCCTTCCACTCACTCATGCTCACTCGTTCTCTCTCTATCTCTTAAATAATAAATAAAATCTTTTTTAAAAATAGGAAATCTGGAGCACCTGGCTGTCTCAGTTGATACAGCACATGCAAATCTTTATCTCAGGGTCATGAGATCAAGCCCCACATGGGGCATAGAACTTACTTTAAAAAAAAAAAAAGAAAAAGAAAATTTATTTCTTCAGAGGCATGCCCAGCTTCAATAACAGGGATTGATAGACGCTTCACAGTAAATGGGAGTCGAGATGATTGAATATTAGATTCCCATAGGACCCAGAGGACTCAATGATCAAGAAAATGATGAAGATGATGTTGGCTACACTAATAACAAATAAAGAGAAAGAGAAGTTAAGAAAATAATCCTAAAAAAATAAATAAAAATAAAAATAAAGAAAAGAATCCTATTTATAATTGCACTCAAAAAGAATAAAATACCTAGGAATAAATTTAACCAAGGAGGTGAAACACTTGTACACTGAAATATAATACACTGATGAAAGACATTGAAGAAGACACAAAGAAATGGAGAGATATATTCCACGCTGATGGATCAGAAGAACAAATATTGTTAAAACATCTGTACTACCCAAAGAAATCTACAGATTCAATGCAATCTCTGTCAAAATTCTGATAACATTTTTGGTAGAAGTAGAACAAACAAAAATTCCAATAGCATTTTTGGTGGAAATAGAACAAATAATTCAATAGAAAAAAATAACTTTGTGTACAGAACCACAAAAGATCCCGAATAGCCAAAGCAATCTTGGAAAAGAAGAACAAAGCTGGAGTCATCATACTCCTGATTTCAAACTATGTAAGAAAGCTATACTAATCAAAACAGTATGGTGTTGGCATAAAAACAGACACATAGATCAATGGACTATAACAGAGAGCCCAGAAATAAACCCATGCAAATACAGTCAATTAATTTATGACAAAAAATTCAAGAATATATACCAAGGAAAGCATAACCTCTTCAATAGATGGTGTTGGGAAAACTGGACAACCACATGCAAAAGAGTGAAACTGGACCACTTTCTTACACTATACATAAAAACTTTCTGCTCATGTTATGCACGATCTTATGGGTTGTGAGATCGAGCCCTACGTCAGGCTCCCAGCTCAGCGGGGAGTCTGCTTGAAGATTCTCTCCCTCTGCCTCTCTTCCCACTTGTGGGCGTGGGCATGTGCGTGTGTGTGTGCTCTCTCTCTCAAATAGATAAATAAATCTCTAAAAAATTAACCTAAAATGGGTTAAAGACTTGAACGGCTTTCTGCCCCTGGACGCCGCCGAGTAAGCATCGTTAAAGTCTCCCCTCCCACCGCCGTCATGTCTAAGTCAGAGTCTCCCAAAGAGCCCGAGCAGCTGCGGAAGCTCTTCATCAGAGGTTTGGGCTTCGAAACGACTGATGAGAGCCTGAGGAGCCATTTTGAGCAATGGGGGACGCTTCCGGACTGTGTGGTAATGAGAGACCCCAACACCAAGCGCTCCAGAGGCCTTGGGTTCGTCTTGTACACCACCGAGGAGGAGGTGGACACGGCCAGGAACACTGGGCCACACAAGGTGGACGGAAGAGTGGTGGAACCAAAGAGGGCTGTCTCCTGAGAAGATTCTCAAAGACCTGGTGCCCACCTAAGTGTGAAAAAGATTTTTGTTGGTGGCATCAAAGAAGACCCTGAAGAACATCATCTAAGAGATTATTTTGAACAGTACGGGAAAATTGAAGTGATTGAGATCATGACTGACCGAGGCAGTGGCAAAAAGAGAGGTTTTGCTTTTGTGACCTTTGATGACCACGATTCTGTAGGCAAGATTGTCATTCAAAAATACCATACTGTGAATGGCCACAACTGTGAAGTAAGGAAAGCCCTATCCAAGCAAGAGATGGCTAGAGCTTCGTCCAGCCAAAGAGGCCGAAGTGGGTCTGGAAACTTTGGTGGTGGTCGTGGAGCTGGTTTTGGTGGGAATGACAACTTTGGTCGTGGAGGGAACTTCTGTGGTCGAGGTGGCTTCGGTGGCAGTCGAGGTGGTGGTGGATACGGTGGCAGTGGGGATGGCTAGAACGGATTTGGTAATGACGGAAACAACTTTGGAGGTGGCGGAAGCTATAACGATTTTGGCAATTACAACAATCAATCCTCAAATTTTGGACCCATGAAGGGAGGAAATTTTGGAGGCAGAAGCTCTGGCCCCTATGGTGGTGGAGGCCAATACTTTGCCAAACCACGAAACCAAGGTGGCTATGGCGGTTCCAGCAGCAGCAGCAGCTATGGCAGTGGCAGAAGGTTTTAATTACTCCCAGGAAACAAAGCTTAGCAGGAGAGGAGAGCCAGAGAAGTGACAGGGAAGCTACGGGTTACAACAGATTTGTGAACTCAGCCAAGCACAGTGGTGGCAGGGCCTAGCTGCTACAAAGAAGACGTGTTTTAGACAATACTCATGTGTATGGGCAAAAAACTCGAGGACTGTATTTGTGACTAATTGTATAACAGGTTATTTTAGTTTCTGTTCTGTGGAAAGTGTAAAGCATTCCAACAAAGGGTTTTAATGTAGTTGTTTTTTTTTTTTTTTTGCACCCATGCTGTTGATTGCTAAATGTAATAGTCTGATCATGATGCTGAATAAATGTGTCTTTAAAAAAAAAAAAAAAAAAGACTTGAACGTGTGACCTGAAACCAAACTCCTAGTAGAATACATTGGCATTAAACTCTTTGACCTTGGTCTTGGTGATGATTTTTTTGGATTTGACACTAGAAGCAAAGACAAAAAAAGCACACATGAACAAGAGGGACAATATCAAACTAAAACGCTTCTGCGCAGGGCAGCCCGGATGGCTCAGCGCTGCCTTCAGCCCAGGGTGTGATCCTGGATACTGGGGATTGAGTCCCACGTCGGGCTCCCTGCATGGACCCTGCTCCTCCCTTTGCCTGTGTCTCTGCCTCTCTCTCTCTCTCTAGGTAGTCTCTTATGAGTAAATAAATAAAATCTTAAAAAAAAAAAAAAGCTTCTGTGCAGCAAAGGAAACCACTAACAAAATGAAAGGCAAGATAATGAATGGGAGAAAATATTTGCAAATTATATATCTGATAAGGGGTTAATAGCCAAAATATATAAATAATTCATATAACTTAATAGCAAAACAAACAATTTAAGTAAAAATGGATAGAGGAAAAAAATAAAATAAAAATGGATAGAGAATCTGAATAGATATTTTCCAAAAAAGTCACAATGAATGACAAATAGGTTCATGAAAAATGCTCAACATCGCTCATCATCAGGGAAATGTAAATCCAAAGCAGAATGAGATATCACCT